CAATTTTCTACTGACAAGTAATTGTATTTTTATTAGAATAAAATATTTTCTTCATTGCTAAACTATTTGCTTCAGGATAATTTATTGGAACAAAAAACAAATTTATTGTGGCAAGTAATTAATTCTTTCAATCAATAAATTACAGTTCAAGAAAATATATTTACTTGAAACAAGTAAATTTTTTCTCTGTGGAGGTACATAGAATTGTACTCTATTTCTTTTTTTATTTTGTGATAAAAATAATTTTAAAAATTATAATTCAATATATTTCTAAAAATTAATAATAAAAAAAAAATAAAATTTAGCAATCAGTTTTTTTCTCCAAATGATCGATTCTACCAACATCGATATTTTCTTCTACGATGAATCAGTTAATCAAAAATCGGATTGGATCATAATCGATTATTATAGAATCGATGCTTTCCTTGTACATCGCCCATCCCTAGCGCACACTCGAGGTACACTGTGGAAGTGAGAGATCTGATATTCTCTATCTCGCTATCTTCACATACCCCCCCTCCCCCTACTCCCAAAAAAGGCTACGTTAGCAATATAGGAATATTACATATGTGGGTGAGAGTCGCTTCGCGTGGAAGTCGTGCGCTCCTGAAGCAGGGAGGGAGATGGAAAAAAAGTCGCTTCGCGTGAAAGTCATTACATAAACAAGGAAGGGTATAGAATAATTTTTAATATTAAGGGAGACCGCGCGGGGCCGATTGTCACAATTTTTGATTATTGATTTTTAGAAAAAAGTGAATGCCTGATTTTGAAATATTATACACGTTATATACCTACATCTTTTAGGTATTAAAAAAAATATTACTCGTGAATTCATGATATCTTAAAAATAAGTTATTTAATTTTAAATGATGCTGCGAAAATATGACAGTTAACCCCGTGTTCTGGGTTGATTGTCACACGTTCTAGGATTGGCAGTAGCATATTTGTTATGGACAACACATATAAAAACACAATTTTTATTTTAATATCAGTTCTATATTTTGAGAAATAATAGTAATTATAGTATTAATACAAATAAAATAGTTATTTTAATCATAAAATACGTAATTTATTTTTATATATAGTTTCTATATGAAAAATGAAAAAATATGTATCTATATGAAATATAATATATTTGTAAGTATATTCTCTGAAAATGTATCCTCTAAAGATATTAAAATTAATTGTCACCTAATCTCGTCTCATTTTATAGCCATTTTTAATAAAAGAGATTGTATTCACAAACTTAGTCAGAATAATGATTACTTAATTGTAGTAAAGATCTTCTAAGACATGTCATTTTCTATGAATATATTCAGGGATATTACGATTAATAATGCCAAAGACTTGTCAGACAACAAAATAGATGATTATAAAAATTTACTCATCAACTTCATTTTCTCAAAAATCGCTATAAATAATATATACAATGCTTGTGGTGCAAACCATTTTACATAACAAGTTAATATTATATCAGCTATCTACAGTCAAAAAAAGAGATTTTTCTGCCGTGTCTTGTTTGATAAGCATTTTGACAATCAACCCCGTACGACAACCAGCCCCGGTCTCCCCTATATATGACACAAATAAAATTTTTCAACCTGTTTTTATTAACAACTTTTTAACTAATAACGAGCGATCGCTAAAACTGTTAGAAGTCATTCAGGGTCATGACCTTGACAACATATATCAAGGTCAAGGTCATTGGAGGAGGATCTCCTAATCTGGAGTATTACCAAAATTATTATTTACATAAAGTTACAGGGTGTCCCCTACCGGGAAAAACCTGAAAAACCTGGAATTCTCAGGGAATTTTTTTTTACCCTTGAAAATCCTGGAATTCTCATGGAATTTTGTTGAAATTGTCAGGGAAATTTTTCAAATTCTATTTTTAAATTTAAATTCTATTTTGTTTAACAAAATCATTTCTTTCTTATAAACGCTTCAAACCATTTATGGTGAAACTTTGACCGCAGCCTAAAGGCTATGGCAGAGAATGAGACGTAACAAGACGTAGTCGTGACGTAGGTAAAACATAGGAAAACATAGATGTTGTAGTTCGACTGCGACATCTACGTTTTTCTCTGTTATATTCTACATCCACGACTACGTTTCGTTACGTTTCATTCTCTGCTATAGCCCCAATTCTATCGTAGTGTAAAAGTATGGCGCTGAATCACGTGATTTAATCAGCCAATCAGACGAAAAAATATTACATTAGGTTTTGATACTATAAAAGCAATAAGAGAAGTTCATATTAAGACTGCAGATATGCTACACTTTCGACAGGATTGCAAGAAGTGTCTCCTAAAGTTTATTTCCGTATTAATGACACGATCACCATTAACATATCTTCTTACAAAAGCTGCTACCTGTTTAAATCCAAGCCTCATAGCTTCAAATTTAGACTTAACCAAGAAATGTTTACATAGTTTGTGTACCATTCTTAACGAAAAAGATCAAATAGCTGGATCAACAACTGATTTGGTAATTTCGAGATCTTACGTCGCGACCGTATATCATGGATATCATGAAATCTTATAATCGTTCTGAAAAACGTTTAGATCATTTTTGGAGAGATGTTGTGTCCCAAGTTTTTAAGGATTTAATGTTTGTAGTAAGAATGGTTTACTGCCTCTCTCATGACAATGCAAACGATAGAACGAGGTTTTTCGGTAAATGCTGAATGTCCTTTCGGAAATATGAAAGAGGAATCTATAGTTGCCCGTCGTTAAATATATGATGCTGTATTACACGAAGGTGGCGTTGATGCTTTAGAAATATCCAAAGCTTTTTTGCATTGTGCTCGAAACTCTCATTCCCGTTACGCAGAAGATATTGAACAGCGTCGGTAGCAAGCATCTGCTGCAGAACAAGAAGCGTCTATGGAAAGAAAAAAGATTTTAGAAGTAAAAGAGTTAGAGGTCAAACGTTCGTTTAAGGGGATCGCCTCATATAAATCGCTAAAAAGAAGGTCATTTTTAGAAATTTTTTTTTTAAGATATGCAATGGATCGTTTAAAAAATTTTTGGTTTTATTACATATATTAAAGAGTACAACAAAAATTTTTTCTTTTTAGTATAGTTTATTTTGTACAAACTTTTCTAAATAAATGTTGACGCAACCTCGTCGCCGGAATCGTAAATCGGCGGGAAATATAACGCCTTTTGTATTTGTCTAAAACAAAAAAATAAAATGGTTTCTTATTTTGTATGACAGTACTTTGTCGATGAACCTAAAAAATAAGTTAAAAATTGAAAATTAACAAAATGTTAATTAACAAAATTAACACTTTAAAGATATAAGTACGATTTTGACCCCAAAAATTTCAATTTATTTATGCAATAACAATTGTTTTAATTAGTTATTTTACTAAATTTATAGGTTCGTCGACAAATTATGACGTTAAACAATATGTATGCACAGGGACAACTCGATCGATCGAATAGTTTTTGAGTTTATCTTTCCCGCCAGTTTCAAAAACTTAGTTTCGAGAAAAACGCGTTTAAAGTTTTTAGTATCTGTGTAGTAGTTAGTATCTGTGCATCATAAATGGGCTGTAGCTTCCTTATTCGAATTTCGTTCTGTAACTTTGGGAATATATTTTCTACATTTACTACTATCGATTAAAATAAAAAAAATTTTTTTCGATTTTTTGAACCGGTTACATGAGGCGACCCCCTTAAGAATTTTAGAAAATGCTCAGAAGGAAGTAGATGCACTTAACGAACAAATTAATGCGTTAAAAATGTAGATTTCAGTATTTTGTATTGTTTAGAGATCTTTTCTTTCCTACATTACCTGAACAGGTATGTGCATTACCGGCAGTTTGCGAGATGTGCGCGTAAAGAATGCAAGTGTCGTGCGGTAATTAATTCGAAAATGAATAATACAGTAGAACAACGCGCAGCCATTAAATTTTGTTTCAAAGCGGGTTTGTCCTCAAAAGATGCGTTTACAATATTGCAGGAATCGTACGGAGAGTCGTGTTTGAAGAAAACAATTTAATGTGTGGCTGCACGTTCAAAATACAGAAAAATATAAAATTAAAAGTTTAATATATTATTATTGTCTTGCACAATAAATTCATTATCCTAATTTGATTATTTACGATCATGTTATAATGAAAATAATGACAAAAATGAAATAAAAGTACTTCCTTGTTGTAACTAAGAATGTTTTTTCTTTCTATATTATTAATGATATTATTATCATTTTTAGAATTGCCTGAGACCAGTTTTACGAGGAGCATCTCGAATCCGGAAGCGGTGATGAGACGACGTCGCCAACAGAAGCTTGAAAGAAGACTCCAACAATTTCGTAGTAAAGACGGCGGTCCTGACACAGGCGGCACATTGAAAATTTATGGTGAGGCGTTGTGCAAGGACGTGCCATACAAAACGCTGCTATTGAGTGTGCGAGATTCCGCCGCTCAGGTTGTGCGAGAAATGCTTTCTAAATATGGCCTGGAAAAAGTGGACCCACAGTTATATTGCCTTGTACAGGTATATACGAAATTATAGCGAAATTTATCCATGCATAAAATATTGTTATATATGGTGATAAATTTAGCAGATTTTAGAAATTGATTTCTTCAACTAATTTCAACTTAATCTAAAAGGTAGCGCAATTCGGAATATATTATATTAATCGATGCTATAAATGAAACTTTTGTTTAGACATTTTATATGGAATAATAGTATAAATAAAATATAAAATTTTATTTTAAAAAGATATCTCAATTTGTTAAATAGTATTATTTAAAAACGGAGATGAATGTAAAAATATAAAAATTTGTAAAACTACGTATTTATACATATACAAAACATATTTATAAAAGAACCAATTCAATAATTATTATTAAAGAAAGATTACTAAAATTAATAAAAAAGAAATTAACAGTAAAGTGATTATACACAATAATGAGATAATAACAATATTCATAGTTTGCAATGTATCTATGAAGTTAATAGAAACAGAAAGTTGAATAATAATAATAATAATATAATATTTTGCTTAATGTAGTTAACAAAGCATAATCGACAAGAATATGGTTCTCGTCATATTACGAAATTGAAAGAATAAGATAAAGAAAAAGTTATGTTAACTGTATGAATATTAAATATATTGCAGACAAATATCTTAAATTAAAAGTATGTTTTATACAATACGATATATTTTTATAGCATTTAATTAGCTTCTTCATTTCTGGAAATTATAAATACACAAACATCAAATATTTTTTGTTAAAAGCGCATATTGTAAATTAAATCACTATCTTGTTTATGATGTAGATTAATAGTGAGAACGTGAGTGGCAATGCTCATCAGGAATATATATTGGACGACGACGAGTGTCCTTTGGCGATATTAATGAATCATCCTTCCACGCGAGGTAAGAATTTACTTTTACATCAATGCTTAGCTGCGCAATTGCTACACAATTCTAATTCTTTTGCATGTACATGATATTCCAACTGAATAAAAATGAAAAAGAGGAAAATGGATATGATTAGGTTTGAACAATTTTGTTACTTAAAGTGTTTAATATAACGCAAATATGTTTTTTACTTAACTCCTCAGAATATTATACTTGGAATTAATCTTTGTACATTTGAAAATATACTGAGTTTTTCGTCTTTTAATCTATCTTTTATTGAGGAGAGAGAGAGATTTAAAGTATCAAGTTCTAACATTACAATAATAATTTTATGTAAAATACGTCAGTAATTCAACAAGCTGTTCTTATTTTTAAATTTAAATCTTTTGAGATAATATAATACAATTTTAATTCTTCAGCGAGAGAAATAATTTTTGCATGCTTCATTTTTAAGTTAATTTGCAACTTTAGATACAATAGCATAATTTTTAAATTTTAATAGAAGATATATTTAAAAAATGAATTGACATTTGATTAGATAGCGAATATTGTTTGTAAAAAGGCAAGTAAAAATTTTGCTACGTATGTATTACACGAGAATAATAAACTGGACACAGAGTTTTTTGTGAACTATTTAAATTATATTTATTAAATATAACTTAAAATGTCTATGATAGAAAAGAACAGTAAAAGAAGGTAAAAGTTAACGGGCGGAGGAGGAAAGAATTCTTGAAATGGAGATGGTAGGATAAAATAGGAGGATTGATCTAATGAAAAAAGATTATCATCAGAATTTACGAGATGAGAACAAATGGTTAATGAGAAAGAAGGCTAGAAGGAATGAAGTTAAAGTAAAAATTAAATTTATAAGGTTGTGTGTAAAAGAATAAAAAGCTTTTAATATCAGCTGATAAAGACGAAGGTTTGATTAGAGGAGCGACAGAAGGGAGAGAGAGGAGGAACTGAAGGATAGAGGGTAGTCGTTGAAAGATAGAGGGAGATATAAGGGTGGCAAGGAAAACAACCGATACCAACATTGCCTCAGTTGGCTCATGTCGTCGGTACTGGCGCCAGTGCGCGGGCGCCGTCGTCGCCGCCTTGTCGTTGTCTTTGCCCTCGTTTCGATATCGTCATTCACGGAGAAATAATTGCCCATAATGTCCGACAGTTTGAGTCAAAATTTGTGCAACGAATCGAGCAATCGTTAATCTTATCTGAGTTGAAATTACAATTGTTCCAGCATATGTTGCGTGAAATATGTCAAGATTTAGTGCCTTGTTGCCTTCTTTATACAGTAATCCGTATATTAATTAGTTGCTTAATTATTTTGTTTGTTTAAAGACGTTTATATATTGAATCCGGAATTCTTCAACCGTTATCGAGCTTGTGATGAAAGTGTACTCGCCCACATGTTCGGTGATCCGTTGTAGCCTCGACCGAATAAATAAATGTGTCATTCTTTGCAATAATATGTATAAATACGACGCAACATATTAATAGCTACACACGGATTTGTTTAATGGAAACGCAGCAGAGGATTCGGATTGACATAATTGAATCTACTCACTGTAACACCCCTCTATATAATTGAACAAAGAAATGAATAGTTATAATTGTACGCATATAATGCAACGCGCAGCGATCCAAGGTGTGGCGTCTTCGGACACGATTAGTTCATTATCAACATACGTATTAAAGACTTTTCATAGTAGCGAAAGTGGAACCACCCACTCACACGATTGCGATAATGCGCCGTAATGTGTGCGAAGGAATAAATAACCACGTACGTGACTGAAGAAATAAATAACGATTATACACGCGGACGTAAGACGTTAATGACCAGCGTTATCGAACCTGAACTTCTCAACATATCAAAGAAAAATGAATTGATGAAAGTGAATCCATTTAAATCGCATAGTCTGGTCATTCTGCGCAATTTTGTGAAAGATCAAGTGATCATCAAATCTCAAGTACGACCTACTAATTACGCCATTAGTAATCGTAATTCAACGTAATTGAATCTTATTGACATGAAATATTTGTAACAATAGAAATACGATATTCGGTAAGTCTCATAATTCACATAAAGGCCGGTTATTGATTACACGCATAATTTAGAAGTGGGCAATACGAAAGAATTCTATTGACCTATTATTACCGAGACATAACATGTAAAAAAATTGCACGGATTACGCAAAACCTTGATGAAGTATGCAGGTGTCTCCTTGACCAATAACACATGACACTTGAATGCAAGTCTCAAAGTCGACCTAATCAGAGACGATGACTAATCATTACTCTGGCAAATAGTGATAGTTATTATGGCTATTGTATGATACCTCTGGAAGACGCTGAATCAATGATGATTTTATCTGATCACTATAATTATTGTATTATCATTACAGATTATCCTAATGCATTACTACATAAATTAACACGTGAGCTGTTCGTCTTCTCTTTAAATCAACATTAAATATCAGATTTGCATGAACAACGAAGAGATCGATTTGACAATACTGTCAATTGCATAATTGACGACGTACTTTATTGACCCATCAGTGCTCGTCGATGACATCTCGAATGAACTCTTTATCGTCAATACGTCTATCTTATGAATCGCACAATCCGTAGTTATGGCCCGTAAATATCCTGTGATCTATTTGAGAACCACCACAATCAATGCCATGGAGTGTTATTGTGAGAACTCGAAGCAATATTTTAATTAATGCAATCATTAGCGACCATCGCAGTGACATGTTTACTTGACTTTCAACATCATTGTATCTGAATAAGCATATTAATATCTTCCTCAAGTATATCGTAATGTCGATTATCTGTAATGTTAACATTGAGATTCAATTAAGAATATGATCAACTAAGCAGATTTATAATTTCTTCTATTGAATTATTATTAAAGATAGGAAGCATACGAACGACCTCCACTCTTGATTTTATCCGTAGTCCAAGTTTAGACAATGTCGTTGGCAAATCAAATATCGAGCATAATAGAAATAGATTGAGGATAAATTCAAGTCAATTCATTTTAAATTCGTCATCATTATAGCGAGAATAGATGCCGAAGAGATTTGATTATACATTTTAACGTCCGTTGATAATTATAATTGGTAAGATTCGCCTGACCAGCTTGAGGCGCCAGCGGATTCTCATGAGGAAAACGGAGCAACGAAAGAAGGGAACAAAGAAGGGACCAATATTTAGCAGCAGCAATAATCAACGAAGGGACCACGAAATTTAATTAAATAAGGCGATCGTCATGATGGATTGGGGAATACGACGTAAGCTTCTGTTAAAGCTGATGAAACTGAATCATGCATGGCGCGTATAGAGCTCAAGTTTCTTCTTGATGTGATTCCATATTAATTTGCTGAAATAGTCATTGTTAATTTGTTAAAATATAAACGTTCTTATATTGTAAAATAGCTCTATGCTGAAAACTTGAAAATTATTTAATAACAATGTACATATTTTTCCCTACACTCTAAATTTTTGGGAGTGAAATTTCACTCCAAGAAAAATGATAGTTGCGCCAATCCAACAAGGAGTGAACTTTACTTCACTCCTCCAGGAGTGAATTTCTTAACCTAACCTAAAAAATCAACTTTAATGATTAATATCTCGTTTCGCGAGACAGAGCGACGCTTTCTTCTGC